CAGGGTGTTTTACCTGGGCAGAGGTGGTTCCAGGATGGATTACCTGGGCAGAGGTGGTTCCAGGATGGATTACCTGGGCAGAGGTGGTTCCAGGATGGATTACCTGGGAAGAGGTGGTTCCAGGGTGGTTCACCTGGGCAGAGGTGGTTCCAGGATGGTTCACCTGGGCAGAGGTGGGTCCAGGATGGTTCACCTGGGCAGAGGTGGCTCGGGGGGAGCACAAGGGGAGGGTTGGGCTGTGTTGGGATGTGCCATCAGCAGGAGGATGCCTGCCTGCTTTCCCATCACTTTTCCATGACTCTTCCATGGCTCTGGGAGGGGAGTGAGGGGTGTCCAGCCCCCCAGGTTTCCACAGCTCCAGCCCCGCTCTCCCTGCTCCAGGAGCTTTCCTGGGCTCAGCCTGGAGAGCCTGAAGCACAATTCCAGCTGGGAACACCTTCTGGGGGGCTGCAGTGGGAGAGGGGAGGTGTCGGGCACGCTGTGGCAGCAGAAGGATGCATTCCCCCTTGCCCATGGATTCCCAGTTCTGGGAGGGGGCAGTGCCTGGGGCTGATCCCAGCTGAGCCAGAGCTCATGGACACGAGGAGCAGCGCTGGCTGAATTCCCACAGCTTTCCCCTTTCCATCCTTTCTGTTGTTGCAAATCTCCTGTTTGTCTGTGGCTGAGATCCCAGAAGGAATTCACCCCCAGCATTCCGGGTGGGTTTTGGGGCTCTCCCTGCCTGTGTCCCCTCAGCGTGGGCTTTCCCATCACTTTTCCATGACTCTTCCATGGCTCTGGGAGGGGAGTGAGGGGTGTCCAGCCCCCCAGGTTTCCACAGCTCCAGCCCCGCTCTCCCTGCTCCAGGAGCTTTCCTGGGCTCAGCCTGGAGAGCCTGAAGCACAATTCCAGCTGGGAACACCTTCTGGGGGGCTGCAGTGGGAGAGGGGAGGTGTCGGGCACGCTGTGGCAGCAGAAGGATGCATTCCCCCTTGCCCATGGATTCCCAGTTCTGGGAGGGGGCAGTGCCTGGGGCTGATCCCAGCTGAGCCAGAGCTCATGGACACGAGGAGCAGCGCTGGCTGAATTCCCACAGCTTTCCCCTTTCCATCCTTTCTGTTGTTGCAAATCTCCTGTTTGTCTGTGGCTGAGATCCCAGAAGGAATTCACCCCCAGCATTCCGGGTGGGTTTTGGGGCTCTCCCTCCCTGTGTCCCCTTTGGAGGCACCAGCTTTGTCCCTGCCAGAATTCCCTGGGGATTGCAGGGATGAGGGCTGGGCTCCCAGCCCATCCTGTGCCTGGGGCAGGGGGATGCTCCATGCAGAGCTGGGATCCCATGTGGGATGTTGGGGATTCCAGTGGGATGTGCCTGGCCTTGGACACAGCTCCCAGGCACTGCAATCCCACGGGAAGGAGGGAAGGACCAGGTGCTGGGAAGGGGCTGGAGGCTGCTGAGTTTTGGGGGAAGTCCCTGGGGAGCCCCAGTGGGGACTGGGGGGGTTGGGTGCCCTCAGCCCCACATCCCTGCGGACTCGGCTGTTTTCCGTGTGGGAATGGGCTGGAAAGGGGGAGTGGCTGCTCCAGGTGTGCTCCTGTGGACACTCAGGACATTCCCATGGCACTCAGGCCATTCCTGTGGCACTCAGAGCCTTTCCTGGCATTCCCGTGGCACTCAGGGCGTTCCCGTGGCTCTCTCCTGGCATTCCCGTGGCACTCCTGGCATTCCCATGGCACTCCTGGCATTCCCATGGCTCTCTGCTGGCATTCCCGTGGCACTCAGGGCATTCCCCTGGCACTCAGGACATTCCCTTGGCACTCTCCTGGCATTCCCGTGGCACTCAGGGCATTCCCCTGGCACTCAGGGTGTTCCCATGGCACTCAGGGCATTCCCGTGGCTCTCTGCTGGCATTCCCGTGGCACTCCTGGCATTCCCATGGCACTCAGGGCATTCCCATGGCTCTCTCCTGGCATTCCCGTGGCACTCCTGGCATTCCCATGGCTCTCTCCTGGCATTCCCGTGGCTCTCTCCTGGCATTCCCATGGCTCTCTCCTGGCATTCCCGTGGCACTCTCCTGGCATTCCCATGGCTCTCTCCTGGCATTCCCGTGGCTCTCTGCTGGCATTCCCGTGGCAGGAGCAGGGATGGCTGCCCAGCCGGGCTCGCTGGTCCCGGGCAGCCCCCGAGGCTGGCAGGGGGGTCCCAGGCGGGGCAGGGGCTCCCGTGGCTCTGGGATCTGAGGCTGCAGCTCCCTCCCCAGGGAATTGTGGGCTCGGCTGGACGTGGCCCAGGCGGGCAGTGCCTGCCTGGAGCCCTGCCCGGCCGTGCCAGGGCCCAGCTCCCCATCCTGGCACATTCCAGGGAGCTCCAGAGGGCAGCGGGACCCTCGCTGCTGCCAGGTCCCTCAGATCCCGGGGTGTCGGAGCTGCCTCTGTGCTCCAGGGGCGTTTGGACAATGCCCTCGGCACAGGGTGGGATTTTGGGATGTCCTGGTTAGGGCCAGGGTCCGGGTTGCTGATCCCTGTGGGTCCCTTTCCACTCGGGACATTCCGTGATGCATTCCTGAGCTCCTGCTGTGCCAGGGAGACCCTTGGGATGGGATCCCCTCCTGCGGAGGGAGGGGTTGGAATCGCAGACGTTTTGGTTGGGAAGGACCCCCGAGGTCCAAGGTCATGGGATCCAGTGTTTGATTTGCACCTTGGATTTGGGGAGCTGCTGCTGGGCTCTCCCCTGAGCCGCCCCCAGCCTGGGCCATCCCAGGGGCCACGGGCAGGGAGTGAAGTGGGAAGGGTTGGGGTGTGGGGGCCTCTCCTGGAGCCATCCCCATCCCTGCTCCAGCCTGGAGCGGCGCGGGCGGGAGAAATGAGGCAGAAAATGTTTCCTGATGAAGTTTGTCAGGGTTTAAACACCGTTAATGTGGGAACGCTGTGACAGATTCCCTGCAGCAGCTCCTGGCTGGGGAGGATGGAGAGCAGGTCAGGCCTTGGCAGGGGCTGCCCAGGGAGCCCAGGCTGTGTCCCCAGGAGAGCTCTGGGGCTGTTGCAGCACTGCTTACTGGGATCACTGGGAATGCTGCCCCATTCCCTGTGGCCCCTCTCACCTGCTCCTCTCCTGTCACAGACACCAGTGGTGAGAACATTGCCGAGTCCCTGGTGGCTGAAGGACTGGCTTCCCGGCGGGAGGGCATCCGAGCCAACAAGTACGTGCTGATCCCATCCCCATCCTGATCCTGGTCCCGATCCTGGGCTGGTGCTCGGGGCATGGAGCCCCTGGATCCCTGGGCTGTGGGGCCTTGCTCCTCAACTCCCGAGGTGCCCACGTCCCACAGGCGTCCCCGGGGTGTCCCCTGGGTTTGGGGCTGTGCAGGGGCTGCCTCCTTCCCTGGGATGCTGAGGCCCCTGGGCTGGGGAGCAGGGACTCTCTGGGAGCCTCCAAAGTCACTCCTGGGGTGGGGCTGAATCCCCTTTGTTCCCACTGGAGAGGAGGTGCTGGGACACGGCCGGTGCGGGATCTGGCTGGGTGATCCCTGTGCCAGCAGAGCCGAGGCTTTTCCTGGGCTCCCTCACATCCCGGGGCAGGGGAGAGGGCTGCAGCCGTGGGACAGGATCCATTGCAGAGCTGCAGGACACTCCAGGGCAGGGTCAGCCTCCTTTGTGGGGTCACGGAGTCCTGGAATGGTTTGGGTGGGAAGGGACCCCAGAGCCCCTGCAGTGCCACCCTGCCATGGCAGGGACACTCCCACTGTGCCAGGCTGCTCCAGCCCCAGTGTCCAGCCTGGCCTTGGGCACTGCCAGGGATGCAGGGGCAGCCCCAGCTGCTCTGGGCACCCTGTTCAGTATCCCTGAGTTTGTGGTGCCAGGGCTGGGAGGGGACCGTGGGCGCTTTGGTGGCCCCGCAGTGGCCGCCTGTGTGTGCAGGGCCGGGCCGATCCCTGGATTCCCATGGCATGTGCCTTCCCTGCTCTCCCAGACGGCCGATCCCTGGATTCCCATGGCATGTGCCTTCCCTGCTCTCCAGACGTGCTCTGCCCTGCTGGCAGCCGGTGCACAGAGCAGCCTCTGGGGGGGTCCCGGCCTCTCCTCCTGATCCCTGGGAGAAAGAGGAGGAGGAGGAGGAGGAGGAGGCGCTTCCCGCCGTATTCCCACTGGGCTGGGCGCTGGGAGGAGCTCGCTTGGGCTCCCAAAGGAGCCGGGGAGGGGCAGGCTGCGGGGCTGAGCCCGTGCTGTCCCGCAGCCCCGAGCAGAGCCGGCTGGCCGAGCTGGAGGAGCAGGCCCGCAGCGCCAAGAAGGGCATGTGGAGCGAGGGCTCGGGCGCGCACACCGTGCGCGACCTCAAGTACACCCTGGAGAACCCCCGGCACTTCGTGGACTCCCTGCACCAGAAACCCGTCAACGGTAAGGTGGCCTGGGCAGGTCCCCGTGTCCCCCTGTCTCCGTGTCCCCCTGTCCCCGTGTCCCGTTGCTGGCCCCGCGGGGTAGCCCGGGGGGATCCTGCTGAGCCCGGGCCCTCTCCTGCTCCCCACAGAACGGGAACATCACGGAGCTGCTGCTGAAGGAGGGCTTTGCCCGCTGTGTGGATTGGTCCATCGCCGTCTACACCCGTGGCGCCGACAAACTGCGCGCGGCCGAGAGGTGGGATGGGGATCCTGCTGCTCCCACTGCTCCCAGTGCTCCCACTGCTCCCAACTGCTCCCAGTGCTCCCACTGTTCCCCCTGCACGTAGCTGATCCCAGTGCTCCAGCTGATCCCACTGCTCCCTGCTGCTCCCACTGCTCCCAGTGCTCCCACTGTTCCCTCTTCTCCCGTTGATCCCAGTGCTCCTGCCAATCCCACTGTTCCCATTGCTCCCTGCTGATCCCACTGATCCTGCTGCTCCCATCTGCTCCCACTGTTCCTGCTGCTCCTAGCTGATCCCAGTGCTCCAGCTGATTCCACTGCTCCCAGTGCTCCCACTGTTCCCTCTTCTCCCGTTGATCCCAGTGCTCCCAGTGCTCTCACTGCTCCCCCTGCACACAGCTGATCCCAGTGCTCCTGCTGATCCCACTGATCCTGCTGCTCCCACTGCTCCCACTGTTCCCACTGCTCCCTGCTGATCCCACTGATCCCAGTTGATCCCACTGTTCCCACTCCTCCCACTGCTCCCAGTTGATCCCAGTGCTCCAGCTGCTCCCAGCTGTTCCCGCTGATCCCACTGCTCCCAGCTGTTCCCACTGTTCCCACTGCTCCCAGCTGTTCCCACTGTTCCCACTGCTCCCTGCTGGTCCCACTGCTCCCAGTTGATCCCAGTGCTCCCACTGCTCCCAGATGATCCCAGTGCTCCCAGCTGTTCCCACTGTTCCCACTGCTCCCAGGTGATCCCAGTGCTCCCAGTTGATCCCAGTGCTCCCACTGCTCCCAGCTGCATCCATGGGGTGCCCAGGGTGACTCCAGCCCCGTGTGGCTCACCAGGGTGGGATTGATGGGATCTCCCCTCCATCTCTCCCCGGGGCTTTGCTGGGGGTGCCACCCCGGCACGTCTGGGTGTCCCAGCCCCGGGGTCCCACTGTCCCCCCCCCCAGGTTTGCCAAGGAGCGCAAGCTGAGGATCTGGAGGGATTACGTGGCCCCCACGGCAAACCTGGATCAGAAGGACAAACAGTTTGTGGCCAAGGTGAGCGGGGCTGGGAAGGGACATCTGGGGAGCAGGGGCACAGCACGGGGTGCCCAGCTCCCAGTCTGGCCTCTCCGTGGGTTTGGACAAACCCCAGAGGGGTTTTCCTTGGCTGGATCCCAGCCATGGATCCCAGGCAATCTGGGATCTCCAGCAGGGCTGGAGTGGGAAGAGGTGCCAGGAGAAGGGAAGGAGCCCTGAGAGAGGGGTTTGGTTTGTGGGCACGGGCTGGGGGGGTCCTGGCACCTCGCTCTGGTCAGCTGGGGCCACAGGGGTGGGCTCACATCTCAAGTGATTCCTGATCCTCCCAGGGAATGGCTGCCCCACGGATCAATTCCCAATGATCCCAGGGAATGGCTGCCCCATGTATTGGTTCCCACTTGTCCCAAAGGCTGGAGATGCTGCTGAGCCCCTCTCTTCGTGGGTGCTGGTGTGTTCCCTGCCCGTGGATACCCCGGGAATCCCTGCCCGTGGATACCCCGGGAATCCCTGCCCGTGGATACCCCGGGAATCCCTGCCCGTGGATACCCCGGGAATCCCTGGCCGTGGATACCCCGGGAATCCCTGCCCGTGGATACCCCGGGAATCCCTGCCCGTGGATACCCCGGGAATCCCTGCCCCGGCGCGGAGGGAGGTGAAGGGCGTGGGGTGGTCCCGGTGGGATGCGGGAGCTGCGGGATCCGGGCAGGATCCCTGGGATCGGCCCCACTAGATGGAGCTGCCGCCTCGCCCAGGCAGCGGCCGCGGCTCCGGAGCTGCTGGAATTTCCCTGGGAATGGGCAGCAGCCACATTTCTTGGAAAGTCGGCGTGGTCCCTGCGCAGGGTCGGATCCTTGCAGCTGCTCCGGTCCTGCCGGGATCCGGGATCGTGTCCGAGCAACCTGGCCTTGTCTGGGTGCTCCTGGGGGGATGCAGGAATGGGATCAAGCCTTGGTGCTCCTGGGGAAAAGCAGGAATGGGATCAAGCCTGGCAGCTCCTGGGGAAAAGCAGGAATGGGATCAAGCCTTGGTGCTCCTGGGGAAAAGCAGGAATGGGATCAAGCCTGGCAGCTCCTGGGGAAAAGCAGGAATGGGATCAAGCCTGGCAGCTCCTGGGGAAAAGCAGGAATGGGATCAAGCCTGGCAGCTCCTGGGGGGATGCAGGAATGGGATCAAGCCTGGCAGCTCCTGGGGGGATGCAGGAATGGGATCAAGCCTGGCAGCTCCTGGGGAAAAGCAGGAATGGGATGGAGCCTTGGCAGACCCTGGGGGGCTCCTGGGTGCCGGGGTTGAAGGGAGCACAATGGAAAAGCTCTGGAGCTGCCAGGACAGCCAGGAGCGGCTGTAGCTGCTCAGAGCTGATCCCTGTGGTGCCCCTGGCTCGTGTCTGCTGGGATGAGGTTGGGAATGGCTGCTGTGCTTGCTCTGCGGGCTCGGATGTGGCTGGGACAGGAGCAGAGCCCCCCAAAAGCTGCCCAGCCCAGGGAGGCCGGAACTGAGAGCCCATCCCTCGGGATGAGGACGTGGCTGTCCCCTCCCCGTGGCGGTGACAAATGACACCTGGGCAGGTGTCCCGTGGGCACGGCAGGGCCGCGTGCCGGCGCTGGAACGCCGGGAAGCGCCGCTGGCAGCGGCTGCCACCGGGGCTGTGCCAGGAGCTGTGCCAGGAGCTGTGCCAGGAGCTGTGCCAGGAGCTGTGCCAGGGCCGTCAGTCACGCTCCGCTCAGCTGCTGGAGGGGGCGGCTGGATGCTCCCGGCGATTCCAGGATGCTGAGATTTTGTGGGATAGCGGCAGGCGGGGCCCCCCCAGTCTCTGGAAAGGGGTGTCCGGGGTGGCTTTGGGGTCAGCAGCATCTCCCCCCATCCCCTTCAGCGGTGGGGATCCACCTGGGAATGGTGGGGAGTGGCATCCCCGTGGGTTGGGGGGCAGAGTTTGCAGGATCCCCCCCCAATTCCCTGGCTCTGCGGGGTCCCCCCGGTTCCCTGGGAGCCCCCAAAGGCAGCAAACACCGTGTCCTGCTTTTCGGGGAGCAGACTGGGATCTCTCCGCCTGTTGGGTCGATCCTGCTCTTCTCCCGGGGCGCTGGGATTTGGCCTTTGGCAGCCGCAGCGCCCCCGCATTTCGGTGTCACTTTGGCAGCTTTTTTTTAAATTTTTTTTTTCCCCTTTGCCTGGAATTGTAAGCGACAGGGAAAATGAGGGCAGATGCCCGCACGGCTGCGGTGGCAGCGCGGATCCCGCAGCGGGGCACGTGTCCGGGGCTCCCGGGGCTCCCGGGGCTGCCGGTGCCGGTGGCGGGGCCGGGCACGGAGCGGGTGGGCAGGGATGGCGCCGGAGCCGCCTCCGTGCTCGGCTCAGCGGGGCTCGTTCGCAGCGGCACAGCTGACGCAGGAGCTGCTGGAAGGGGCTGCGAGGGGAGGGGGAGGAGGAGGAGGAGGAGGAGGAGGAAGATCCCAACCTGCCTGTGCACCGCTGATGAAGCGCGGCAAATGGGCTCCGGCTAATTCTGGCTGCGGCTGGGGGAGCGGGGCTGGGCTGGGGGAGCGGGGGGCTTGGCCTCGGCTGTGAGGGGCGAGGAGGAAAGCAGAGGAATGGGAATGTCAGGGGGGCTGGAGGCTCTCTCCCGAAATCCCTGCGTCAGCGGGTCTGGGAGCGGCGCGATTCGGGACACGCTGCGGAGCCGTGCGAGCGCCGGGCTGGGAGCCATCCTCTGCAGGGGGGGCTGCGGCAGCCCGGCCCGCCCTGGGGGGCTCCCGGGCCGCCCCGGCTCTGTCCCGCCCCTGCTGCCCCCCGACAGGCTCGGCGGATGGGGCTGAGCCGGGCCCCGCTCCTTTGATCCTGGCTTTTATTGCCTTTGCTGGGAGCTCTGCTCGCGGCCAAATCATCCCGGGGCTCGGTGGGATGTGCCAGAGCCGAGCCCGGGAGCTGCTCCTGGGCTGAGCCGAGTGCCAGACCCTGCCAAAGCCCCTCTAAAAGGACATTTTTGGGATGGGGGGACACTCGAGCCTCTCCTGGTGCTGGCCTCTGGCTCCCCAAGTGCCACTGTCCTTGTTGGGGTGCAGGAGGTCACCCTCAGCTTTGGGGATGCTCCCTGTGCACCCCGGGAGTGGATGCTGTCCTGGGATAGGGATGCTGTCCTAGGAGCACAGCAGCCAGGAGCTTCAGGAGTGGGGACACGTCCCCATGGTCCCCAGGCATGGAGGTCCTTGTCCTCCCCAGCTCCCAGGGAAACCATCCCTAAAAGTGGAATCCCTGGCCCCCAGTGTCACATCCTGGCACCCCAGGGTCACCTCCCAGCCCCCCAGTGTCCCCTCCCAGCCCCCCAGTGTCACCTCCCAGCACCACCCCGAGGTCCCCGGAGCGCAGCCCTGTGGCTGCTCTGTGTCTGTCCCTGGCTGTTCCCATGGGTTGGGATCAGCATTTGGAATCAGCTGTGCCTTTAGGGCACACCCAGGGTTTGTGGGGCGGGGTCGTGCTGCCAGACCCCCGGAAAGGGTGGAATTCCCAGTCCTCAGAGGAAGAGCTGCTTCCCTCTGCTTCTTCCTGCTCGGGCTGGTCCTGTGCCTGCTTGGGCACCCAGACTGGGAGGTTTTGTGTCCTGTACTGGTCCCAGTTCTCCCTCCCGGTGTGCCCCCAGTGCTGGGGACAGGCAATGCCCGGGGTGGAAGACTGGAGGCTTTGCTGGGCCCAGCTCTTGCAGTGAGGGAAAAACATCTTCCCTGACAAATCTGGACAAGGGAGGGCTGCGAGCTCCGTGCCCTGGGGCGCTGATGGGATGGGGGTGACCGGGGTGGCCGGGCCTGGCCGGTGCCACAGGGACATTCCGGGGCTGCCCTCCCTGCTCCCAGCCCGCGGGACGTGGGAAGCAGCAGCCGGAGCGTGCTGGCTCTGCAAGAAACAGCTGCAGAGCTTTAAAAAATAATCCTTCCAATCCCGTTATCAAAGGGCCTCTCGCAGGCAGGAGAAGCCACAATAAATATTGGATAAGGGAAGTGGCCGCGGCGGGCTGGGAACGTGGCAGGAGACAAAAGCCCTGGCCCCGGGGCGGTGCTGAGTGTTCTGTCACCGTGTCACCCGTGTCACCCCCGTGACCCTCCTGCCCTCCCTGCGGCTCCAGCAGGAGGAGGCAGCGGCTGCCCAGGGAGGGTGGGCACCTGGGCGTGCCCCTCGTGCCACCCTGCTCTGTCCTGCCTGGGACTGGCATCCCGTGGGAGCCCTGGCTGCAGGTGCCATGTCCTGCTGTGCCCCGTGTCCTCCAGCACATCCTACTGCATCCCATGTCCTGCAGGGACCCTTTGTAACTGGGTCAGGGCCCTGCAGGGAGCCTGGAGGTCCCTCTTGGCTCCCGCTGCCACCCGGCTCTGTCCTGCCTGGGAGCCACAATGTCCCTGCTCCAGGTGCCGTGTCCTGCTGCATCCTGTGTCCTACATCTGTGTCCTGCTGCATGTCCTGCTGCATCCCAGAATCTGCTCCGTCCGTGTCCTGCTGCCGCCTGTATCCTAAATTCATGTCCTGCTGCTGCATCCTGTGTCTTGCTACATCCATGTGCTGCTGCATCCATGTGCTGCTGCATCCTGTGTCTTGCTACATCCATGTCCTGCTGCATCCTGTGTCCTGCTGCATCCCATGTCCTACATTCTGTATTCTGCTTTATCCCATGTTGTGCTACATCCATGTCCTGCTGCATCCCATGCCCTCCATCCCATGTCCTGCTGCATCCCATGTCCTGCTGCATCCATGTTCTGCTGCATTCCATGTCCTCCATCCTGTATCCTGCTACGTCCATGTCCTGCTGCATCCCAGAATCTGCTCCATCCGTGTTCTGCTGCCTCCTGTATCCTAAATTCATGTCCTGCTACATCTGTGTCGTGCTGCATGCCATGTCCTACATCCTGTATTCTGCTTCATCCCATGTCCTGCTGCATCCCATGCCCTACATCCCATGTCCTGCTGCATCCTATGCCCTGCATCCCATGTCCTGCTGCATCCCATGTCCTGCTTCATCCTGCATCCTGCTGTATGTATCCTGTGTTCTGCTACATGCATGTGCTGCTGCCTGCCCCCGTGTCCTGCATCCCATGTCCTGCATCCCGTGTCCTGCTGCATCCATGTGCAGCTGCCTGCCCCCGTGTCCCGCGTGCCCCTCGCAGCCGGCTGATCCCGGCGCAGGGTCCCGTGAGTTGTTCCTGCCGGAGGGGGCCGGAGGGGCCCGGCCAGTCCCCGCTGCCGCTCCCGCACGGATCCGGGATGCGGGATGCGGGACCCGGGATGCGGGCCGTGCCTCCGGGAGCCGCTGGCCGGCTGCTGCCTCCTGCCAGGGAACAAATGAGATGTGACCGGGCTCCCGCGGCTCCCGCGGCTCCCGGGGAAGCATGTGCTGGATGTGTAATGGAGCGCGGGATCTGCCCCCGGAGCTGACCCGCAGCGGCCCTGGCTGCAGCAGCTCCGCTTCGCATCCCGCTTTCCCCAGTCTCGGGCGGCAGGAAGGAGAGAGGCCGCTCCCTCCTCGCCCCTGGATGCCCTGGAGCGTGAGATTGGATTACTCCACTTGGCAGGCACACGGCTTTGGGCTGCTCCTGCCGAGGAAGCATCCAGGAGCTGGGAGCCGGGAGGGGCCGGGGCCGTTCCCGGGGGCTTTGCTGTGCCCTGGCACTCCGTGGTGTCTGCTCGGATCTGAATTCCTTAAATCCCGCTCTCCCTCCGGCCCAGCGCGCCGGGAGGGGCGGGTGTGACTGACTGAGGGGCAAGGAGGGCTGGAGTGGGGTCGGCTGCTGCCTCCCTCCCGGCTCCGGGGGTGTGGGAGCGGGATCGGGGTGCGTGAGCAGCACTGGGAGCCTTTGGGACTGGGGGGACTGGGCTGTGCTGGGAGCAGGCAGGGAAAGGTTCCTGTCCTGGCAGTGGCAATATCCAGCAGCTCTGCTCAGCCAGGCTGGAGAACTGGGAATGTTAAACCCGTGTGTGTGTGTGTGTGTGTCCTGAGCTGGACTGGGATCCTCCTGCCCCCTCTCAAACCATTCCAGGATTCCCTGACTGTGTGGTCCTGATTAGTTTGCTCCCAGCATGGGCTGTCCTTGTTCTCTCCTCCCTGAGCATCATCTCTTGTCTAGTGTCCAGCTCCTGCTCCTCCGGAATTGCCTCTGGAATGAAACCCAGGGGGCTGAGCCCTGGCACAGGACACACACAGCTGGCAGTGCCCTGGTGTGCCACATGTCCCCATGCCAGGAGCCACATTCCCCTGTGACAGCCGGGATGGGGCTGGGGCTGCTCCCTGTGCCGGGGGTGGGAGTCAGGGTGGCAGAGCCACTGCCACGGTGGCACCTGGCCCTGGGTGTGCCCAGGTGGCCGCTGTCCCCACGCTCAGCTCTGTCTCTGTCCCCAGGTGATGCAGGTGCTCAACGCCGACGCCATCGTGGTGAAGCTCAACTCGGGGGACCACAAAACCATTCACCTGTCCAGCATCCGGCCACCGCGGCTCGAGGGGGACAGCGCCCAGGTGACACCGCGGGGACAGGCACGGGGAGGGGACGGCGCCTGGGGACAGACACAGGGAGGGGACGGCGCCTGGGGACAGCGCCTGGGGACAGGCACGGGGAGGGGACAGCGCCTGGGGACAGCGCCTGGGGACAGGCACGGGGAGGGGACAGCGCCTGGGGACACCGCGGGGACAGGCACAGGGAGGGGATGGCGCCTGGGGACACCGCAGGGACAGGCACAGGGAGGGGACAGCGCCCAGGTGACACCGCGGGGACAGGCACGGGGAGGGGACGGCGCCTGGGGACAGACACAGGGAGGGGATAGTGCCTGGGGACACCGCGGGGACAAGAGGGGACAGCGAAGGGATGGGAGGAGGATGGGAAGGGCCGGGCAGGGGGCCAGGGTGGGCTCTGTGTGGAGACCCCTCCCGTGGGGCTCCTGCTCCCTCTGGGATGACCCTGCCCTGTCTCCCCTCCTGCCGGAGCCCATCCCATGGGGGCCTGGGAAGGGCTGGAGCGTGCCCCGGTGGCTGCAGGGAGGCAGATCCGTCCCTCGTCTCCTGCCTCAGTTTCCCCTCTGTCCCGGGGGTGTGGGGTGCTCCTTAGGGATCTCTGTGCCTGTGGCCCCGTGCCCCGTCCGTGGGGCAGGCACGGGGGGCTGCGCGGCTGCTCCGAGGGGAGGAATCCTTGTTTGCCTTGCCGGGCCGTGGGGCTGGCTGGGTCTGGGGGCACCCCCACGCCCCCGAGGAGCAGCTGCCGTGTCCCCAGCCCCGGGGGACACCAGGGCTGGCTCGTGGCCGGGGCTCAGCCTCGAGGGGCTCTTGGCGGGCGCCGGAACGCTGGGAAGGGCTGGAGAGGCCGCGCTGTTCCCGCACAGTCGGTCCCTGCTCGCCGCCTTTGGGGCGCCGCTGGAGCGCATCCGGGCGCGGGCAGGGACGTGGAAGCGCCGGGACAGCCGGGATTGGGCACGGGGAGCGCCCTTGAGCCCGCTCAGCTCCGCAGGGAAAGGGCTGGGCCGGGAAAGGGATGTGGCTGCGGGCCCTGGAGCACACACCGAGCCTGCCCGGAGCTCCGGGGATGAGGGGTCGGTCCCTGTGTCACACACAGTGTCCCTGATTACTGAGGGATCAGTCCCTATGTCACACACAGTGTCCCTGACTCCACTGAGGGATCAGTCCCTGTGTCACAGGGTCTCCTTCATCCCCTCACAGCTCCGGAGCTGCTGCAGGAGTTGGGATGAGGGATTGATCCCTGTGTCACACAGAGTCTCCTTGAGGCTGCTCACAGCTTTGGAGCTGTTGCAGAACCCAGGATGAGGGATTGATCCCTGTTCACAGAGTCTCCCTCCCACGGGGAGCTCTGGAGCTGCCCCGGGAGCCAGGATGTGGCTCGGATCCCTGTGTCCCTGTCTGGGACAGCGCTGGGGGTGCAGAAGCCAGGCACTCCCTGCTGTCTGTCGGTGATGCCAGTCCCCAGGGGCTCCTCAGGGCAGGGATTCATCCCGGTGCTGCTGCTGTTCCCTCTGTTACTGCCTTCCCTCCGTGGCTGGTGCCCTCAGAGCTGTGGGATCTCGGAGATCCCGAGACCCTTGGTGTGCCTGCCTTGTTCCTGGCACGTCCCTCCTCCTCCTCCTCCTCCTCCAGCGCCTCTGGAGATGCCGGGAAGGCTCCTGGGAAGGCTCCTGGGAAGGCTCCTGCCCGTGCACACGATGGGGCCGAGCCAGGGTTGCTCCAAACCCGCCTTTCCCAGGCTGTTTTCCGTCCTGGAGCACCACGGGCCGGCCTGGCCGTGCCGGTGGGCGACAGCTCCCGAGGTGACCCCGCGTTGCTGTGGGAACGGGAATTTGGAAATTCCTGCCTCCCTGCACGCCGCCTTGCTCTGGCCACAGGGAATTATGGAAACCTGCCCAGATCGGCCTCTTCCCGCTGCTCCTCTGGCATCGGCTCGGTGGGCCGGGGGCTGCCGGGGGCTCGGGGGGCAGCGGGAGCAGCGGGATCCCCCCGGAGCGGCCGCGGTCTCCAAGGAGACGGCAGAAAGGGAGAGGGCAGAAAGGGAGAGGTAGAAAGGGAGAGGGCAGAAAGGGAGAGGGCAGAAAGGGAGAGGGCAGAAAGGGAGAGGCAGAAAGGCCTTTCATCTCCCAGCGCTGGATGAATCCCGGGAGCGACGGCCGGGAACGTCCGCAGCGCTCGGCTCTGTCCGGGAACGTCACGGATCGGGATGGAGATGGATCTCCTGCTGCTCCAGGTGCTGCACCGGCACCGTGGCGTGGGGAACAGCTGGAAAACCTCACCTGGATGGCTGGAATCCTCAGCAAGATAGCTGGAAATCCACTGGAATGCCTGGAAAGCCTCGCTGGAATGGCTGGAAAGACTCACTGGGATGTTTGGAAACTCTTACTGGGATGGCTGGAAACTCTTACTGGGATGGCTGGATTCTATCACTGGGCAAGTGGGAAACTCTTACTGGGATGGCTGGAAACTCACTGGGATAACTGGATTCTGTCATTGGGAAAGCTGGAAACTCTTACTGGGCTGGCTGGAAGAAACTCAATGGGATAACTGGATTCTGTCACTGGGAAAGCTGGAAACTCACAGGGATGGCTGGAACCTCTCTCTGGGAAGACTGGAACCTTTCCCTGGTATGGCTGGAACCTCTCACTGGGAAGACTAGAATCTCTCCCTGGGAAGGCTGGAATCTCCCTGGGAAGGCTGGAATCTCTCCCTGGGATGGCTGGAATCTCCCTGGGAAGGCTGGAATCTCTCCCTGGGAAGGCTGGAATCTCTCCCTGGGAAGGCTGGAATCTCCCTGGGAAGGCTGGAACCTCTCCCTGGGATGCAGCCCCCATCTGGGGCTGCGAACGTGGGGTGCTCCAATCCCTGGGGTGCTCCAGGTGCCTGTGGATTCAGGGGAGCTGTTCCCCAGGTGCAGCCGGCACCCAGCGCTCTGCCCCGAACCCTGAGGTGGGCTTTGGGAATCCATCCATGTGGAGATGGATCCATCCTGGAGCAGTTTGCTGGCCTTGGATCCATCCAGAGGCAGAGCTGAGCCGTGTCTGGCAGTTCCATGGGATGGAGGAAGAGCCAGTTCCTGGGAAGAGCGAGGGGGGCTCCGACCTGCTGGATCCAGCTGTGGTGATTCTGCCTCAGAGCTTCCCTGGGCGTCGGTGCCACCACCATTCCCAGAGTCTGGGATGTTCCCATTCCCTTTTCCAGTCACCAGCTCGTTCCCTTGGACAGCCACATTCCAGGCCCCGTCAGCCGCTCCGGCGGAATTTTCTGGATTGCGGCAGTTGCAGCACAAATCTGCTCCAATCCCCAATTTATCTAAATTGATCTCTTAATTGGGAATTCTCTGGAGGAGGGGGAGTCGAGCACATGGATCCTGATTCAACGGGAGGATGCAGAAGGGGAGAGGGCAGAAAGGCAGCGCCCGGATGGATCCGCTGGGAAACCCTCTGGGATCGGCCCCGGCTCCTCCCAAATTCCCTCAGATCCCCCGGGGCCCCGCAGTGTGGGCTCTGTGCCCCCGAGTCCGGGGTGTCCCTGTGCAGCCCTGGCACCCCAGGGTCACATCCTGGCACCCCAGGGTCACCTCCCAGCCCCCCAATGTCACCTCCCAGCCCCCCAGTGTCACCTCCCAGCACCCCAATGTCACCTCCCAGCCCCCCAGTGTCACCTCCCAGCACCCCGAGGTCCCCGGAGCACAGCCCTGTGGCTGCTCTGTGTCTGTCCCTGGCTGTTCCCATGGGTTGGGATCAGCATTTGGAATCAGCTGTGCCTTTAGGGCACACCCAGGGTTTGTGGGGCGGGGTCGTGCTGCCAGATCCCCCTGGAAAGGGTGGAATTCCCAGTCCTCAGAGGAAGAGCTGCTTCCCTCTGCCTCCTCTGCTTCCTCCTCCTCCTCCTCGGGCTGGTCCTGGCTCCGGTCGGTGTCACCCCTGCCTGGGCACCCAGACTGGGAGGTTTTGTGTCCTGTACTGGTCCCAGTTCTGCCTCACCAGGGTCTCCCTGAGGTCCCTCTGGCCTGGGATGCTCCCGTTAAATCCAATTATTTCTCCCCGGGTTTCATCCTTCCGTAGCTCCGTCATGTTTCCGTCCCTGGCGCTGTCATTAATTACCTGGCAGTGCAATTAATGATGGGTTTGCTCCTCCCTTCCACACCAGCAGTTAAAATTATGGAAAAAACATCCAAGAATTCCACAAGGGACCAAACCCAACCTCGCTGGGGCTCAGGGTGGGGACCCCCATCCTGCCTGCCATTCCAGAGGTGGATCTGGATCTCAGGGAGTGTGGACACGTCTGTTTATGGATCAAATATCAGCATGGACACCTCTCTGTGTCCCTGGAATGTGTCAGGACTTTCAGAAAATTCATGGGAATATTTGTAACATCTGAGCATTTATTGAAAATCCACCAGTGGAGGGGTTTGGGCTGTGCTCCCAGGGAACAGGGACAGGAGCAGAGGGAACGGCCTCCGGCTGGGCCAGGGGAGCTCAGGGTGGAATCAGCAGGAATTTCCCCATGGAAAGGGGGGGTCAGGCCTTGGAAGGGGAAATTTGGAGTGCCCATCCCTGGAGGTGTGCAAGGAATTCCTGGAGGTGGCACTCAGGGCTCTGGGCTGGGGACAAGGTGGGCTTTGGGCACAGCTGGGACTTGGTGACCTTGGAGGGCTAGGGGAGCTGTTCCCCAGGTGCAGCCGGCACCCAGCGCTCTGCCCCGAACCCTGAGGTGGGCTTTGGGAATCCATCCATGTGGAGATGGATCCATCCTGGAGCAGTTTGCTGGCCTTGGATCCATCCAGAGGCAGAGCTGAGCCGTGTCTGGCAGTTCCATGGGATGGAGGAAGAGCCAGTTCCTGGGAAGAGCGAGGGGGGCTCCGACCTGCTGGATCCAGCTGTGGTGATTCTGCCTCAGAGCTTCCCTGGGCGTCGGTGCCACCACCATTCCCAGAGTCTGGGATGTTCCCATTCCCTTTTCCAGTCACCAGCTCGTTCCCTTGGACAGCCACATTCCAGGCCCCG